GCCAAACGCCCCCACACTTTGAGATAATTCAAGTTAGGCATTCTGCCTTTCCATTTCTCATAAGGAGTTTGTTGTGTCTTTCTGTGGGGTACTCTATTTAAAATAAAATTCGCCGTCAAAACAGCTTCCCCCCACAAATTCTGTGGTAAACCGGAACTATTCAACAATGCATTCATTGTTTCCTTTAAAGACCGGTTTTTCCTTTCCGCCACTCCATTAGATTGCGGCGTATAAGGAGGAGTCATTTGGTGAACGATACCAAACTCAGCACAAATTTCCTCAAAAGGAAATTCATATTCACCTCCTCTGTCACTTCTTATCATTTTAACTTTCTTATTCAACCGAGTTTCAACTTCGGACTTATAAATTCTAAAAGCATTCACACCTCATCTTTGCTACTAAGCAAATAAACATAACAATACCTCGAGCAGTCATCTATAAATGTGATAAAATACTTATTACCACCTCTTGACGGTATTGATTTCATATCGCATATATCTGTGTGTATTAAATCTAAAGGTTCTGAAACTCTATTGTCTATAGAATGAAACGGAGGCTTAGAAAATTTAGATTCAACACACACTTGGCATTTCTCACTAGAACATTCGAATTTTGGCAATAATCCCATGTTCATTAATTTCTTTATCGACTTATAGTTAACGTGTCTTAATCTAGCATGCCATAAATTAGGAGACTCAAGCACATAAGCAGAAACAACTTTATTCATAACATCATTGGGTACAACAGTCATTACATTCAACTTGAAAAGACCATCACTGAGGTAACCCTTTCCTACATACATCTCATTCTTGGAGAGTACAAACTTATCGGATACAAAAACCAACTTGAAGCCATTCTTGCTAAGAAGAGATCCGGACACTAAATTCTTGCGTATGTCTGGCACATGTAGCACATTATTTAGTGTCACAACTTTCCCAGATGTCATCTTTAGAGCAACCTTTCCAACACCTTCAACCTTAGAGGTCGATGAATTACCCATGTAGAGTTTTTCATCACCTTCCATAGGCATGTAAGATGAGAACATTGATTTATTGGCGCAAATATGACGAGTTGCTCCAGTATCAATCCACCACTCCTTGGGGTTTCCCACCATGTTACACTCGGATATCATAGCAGTTAGATTGATATCATCAACACCATTGGAAATTTGTTCCACCACATTAGCCTGAGTTTTCTGTCTTTTCTTGGCTCTGCAGTCTTTGGCTCGATGTCCAGACTTGCCACAGTTGAAGCACTTGCCAACGAACTTCTTCAGGCCTTGGGTGAATCCCTCTCCAGACTTGCTAGGCATTTTCCTCTTCTTGTTGGGTTTTGATCCTTCTTCAACAACATTGGCTCTTGAGACCGCCAAATTGCTGCCAACTTTCTTCTCGGAATTCCTATTGTCTTCCTCTATCCTCAATCGAACAATTAAATCTTCAAGTGATAATTCCTTTCTCTTGTGTTTGAGATAATTCTTGAAATCTTTCCAAGACGGCGGTAACTTTTCAATGAAAGCAGCCACTTGAAAAGATTCACTAATCATCATACCTTCAGCATGAATGTCATGCGTGATCACTTGAAGTTCTTGAACTTGACTTAAGACGGTTTTAGAATCTACCATCTTGAAGTCCAGAAATTTGCCGACGATGAATTTCTTCAATCCAGCATCTTCCGTTTTGTATTTCTTGTCCAAACTTTCCCACAACTCCTTAGCCGTTTTTAGCGGACTATAAACGTTGTAGAGGGAATTGTCCAGACCATTGAGGACGTAGTTGCGACACAGAAAATCAGAATGTTTCCATGCATCTATAGCAGCAACCTTTTCCTTGTTTGTCTCTCCTTCATCCAACTTCGGAGCATCCTCCGTGAGGAACCTTGCCAAGTTCAATGTAGTGAGGTAGAACAACATCTTCTGTTGCCATCTCTTAAAATCAGCCCCATTGAACTTTTCCGGCTTCTCTCCATGAGTTGGAACAGACGCAATAGGCGTCGTCGATGTTGTAGCCATTTCTGACACGAAGACAGAAATGATTGAGAATGTAACTGAACAAACACGATAATAAGCGATTTGTCTTAAGATTGTTGTTCAATATACACGTGTTTGTATGTGCATATAAAGTAAAGTTGTTTGACAAACCTGAAATGAGTGATCCGAATTTGACGATTGATCCGAGCCCAACGAGTTCACGTTGTGTCCTTAAGACAATTTGTTCCCTCTACCGGTACCCAAAGGTCGTTGAACAATTGCCTCCCAGGATAGAACGGATCGCCTTTCCTATGAAGCGGTACTTCTTCAAAGGAAATCTTCGAACGCAACTTCGCAGAATAATCGCACAAAAAGATGAATACGATGAAGAATGAGAGTGCAGCAGAATGCCGTGAAAAGATGAAATGCCAAGAGACTTCCGAAATGTTCAATTCGTCATATATATAATATGAATAGTCACCAAGGAATTTCGGATATATAAGGATGAAACTGAAGAGTCACCAACCGAACAAACAATTTCGTTCGGTTCTACGTGAACAGTCACGAGCCGAGCCTTGAACCGGTTTGGTTCGTGAACAGGCGCGCGAAAGGGTTTCGGTTTTCGTTCGGGCGAACCGAACCTCACGAACAGACATGTTTGTTTGTCCAAAAAATAAATAAATAAATAATTTCTAAACAACGTGTCTGTTCGAAAAATAAAAAAAATAAAAAACCGATAGAGAGTGGACCCGAAACCGAGCCGGCCGGACGGGCGGCGGCGCGCGCGCGGGGGGTGGACCGACCTAGTTTGACGTAGGTCCTCTCTCTTCCACAAAAGTGGGGTACCCCTTGGGGCCCAAACCCATTTGTGAGGCTCAACTATTTGAACTCATCTCCCATCTCTCTTCTACCCTATGTGGGACACTTTCACCCACACACTTCTCATTCAATTCTATGGGATTTTGGTGACAAAATCCCAACAGATTCAAGCACAAACAAAGCGTAGAACGAAGATAACAAGAACGGATATTGGTAACAGCAGTCTCGACCTTTTGTTCAAGCATTTTATCAAACAGTGGCGGGCAAGTTCGGCACTGAGCTTAAAACCGAGATTTAATGCGATTTTTGGCTCAAACATGAAGTGCAAGGATCTAAACGGCCATATTTCACCACAAATCTGTCTCGGTTTACAAAGAAACACTGTGAATCGTCAAAACCAGATTCAACGTTCTAAGCCTATGTTGTTTCATTGAGACATTTCAGCGAACAGCTAGTATGCGTAGATGAATACGAATTCCAGACCCACTTTTAAAGCTTTTCTCCGTCCAAACACAGTGTCTGAATCTCTAAATTATTACAAATCATCATGGAATTGTTTCGTTTTCGCACAATTTGCTCGAAAAGTCACTAATTCGGTTCGGTGTTTTCAAGCCAGACAAGCAGGACAAAACAGAGCATAAAGTGGAGGAGTTACCTGGTTCGGGAATGGAGCGGAATTGACAATGTCGGCGAAGGATAAAGCTCCTCACTGCGGCCAGGCTTGACTTCCGCGGCGATTTGATCTCGGTACGATAGGATTATAGAGCCGGAAGGTCTTCGGACAAGGCAATGGGCGGTCGGAGACGATGGCGTCCGGCGGCGATGAACGACTGACTGGGAGGGAGAAGAGATTTGCCGGCAATCCTCACGGGTGGAGGAACCGGAGCGCTCTCCTCTTCCAACACCCCTCTTCTTTCTCCCTTTTTTTTTTTTGGTCTCTGTTTCTCCCCCCCCCTTGCGCCGAGCGTTCCCCTTCTTTTTTGTCTTGCTCGGCTCACTCCCTCCCAAAGGACTGTACCTCTCCGCACAATTCCCCTTGACGTTGGGATCTATCTATCCTTCCTGTCCCCGGCCGTTTTGGCCTTTTGTCCTTACTTCCCTTTGCCTTTTCTACATTATGGCTTGTGTACTCTGTCCTCTTCATAAACTACGCGAGAGAGAAATGAGCGTGAGGGTGATGAAAAGAGAGAAAGGCCGGGCTGGACTTGTTGAGTCCCCAAGCTGTTTCATGGGCCTTTAAATTGAAATGTCTAAAATGGAAATCCAGAGTAATGAGTTTGTGGGCTTTGAAAACTATGGTAGAGGTATGAGCTGGGTCCAAACGAAGATAAAGGGGAGGAAAAATAGAAGGGCCGGGTTCAAACGGGCCGGATCGAACCGGCCTAGTTCCTTTCTTCTTTCTTTCTTTCTTTTTTTTTAATCTAAATATATATTCTAATAATTTTATTCTGTTCTCTCTCCTTCTTACACTACTTTGGCCATTCGCATTTTAAGGCACCAATTTACCAGATTGACAAAAATCAGGTGTCAACAGCCAATTAATTGAGATTACTTATTAAAAAGCCTTACTTGAATTGACATGCGTACATGGCTGGTTCTTTGTGGGAAATGCAAGGACGCGGCGATGACTAAATATCTAGCCGTACAACCTTAAGTACACAAAACTCTACATGGGATTGTGAAGAGATCATGTCTGCCTTAGCCCTACCATTATCTCTTCATTATTTAATTCAATACATTTTTGGATCATTACCATGTTTATAACTATGAACAAGAAATTGAAAGAATAAAAATAAAAAAATTATATGAAGTTGCTTTGTCTTTAACTTTTTTTTCAACTTCAAAGTTATTTTGTAAATAACTACACCAAAATCACTAAATCAATGGTATTTAAACAAATACACCTTGAGTCAAAAGTCATTTCCCCAAAACTCAAGCTCAAACAAATGTAGACTTAGTGGGTCCAAACTTCATGAACAATTACAGGGGTGACTCTTCACATGCTTCACAATATCAAATGCACATTCCGTGCACATACCGTGCACTTTTTTCCAGAATAACTTATGGTTAAAGGACTCCTCAAGGTGTATATGCTCAAAGCAAATACCGTTAATTTAGTAATTTTGGTGTAATTATTTGCAAAATACCTTTGAAGTTAAAAAAGAAAAGAAAGGCAAATCATGGTGTAGTTATTTCTCCCTCAGGTACTCACTCATTTTCGTTTCTTCTTTTCATAATTTTGTAGCATCCTTATCACTTTTTTGAGGTCGTGGAAGAAGATAGGATAAACCTCAGCCGCGTAGATGGAGACAATCATGAGGGCGAAGCCAGCACCGAAGGTGGCACAAGAGTGGCCGGCCAAGAAAACAGAATAGGTGGGGGAAAAACCCCTGAGAAGGGGCCCGCCGAAATACATGGCCCCTGCCATCATAATCGTCTTGTGGCGGCCAAACTGGTTAGAGATCCATCTCGCCGTCGCCAATCCGAGAAACGTGAACACTCTCAGGTACCCCGTCAGAACATTAATATGTTCTTTGGGTAATTTCACGTCCACCTTTATATATGCCGCTGCCCCGCTCATCGCTATTTGGACTATCAAATTTTTTTTAAAAAAAATAAAATCTTATTTATCATTACAAAGTTTATAACTATATACAAGAAATTGAAAGAATAAAAATAAAAAAATTCCGCGAAGTTGCTTTGTCTGTAACTTTCTTTTTCAACTTCAAAGCTATTTTACAAATAACTAAACCAAAATCACTAAATAAACGGTATTTAAGCAAATACACCTTGAGCCAAAAGTCATTTTCCCAAAACTCAAGCTCAAGCAAATGTAGAGTTAGTGGGTCCAAACTTCATGGACGACTTCAGGGGTGACTCTTCACATGCTTCACAATATCGAATGCACATTCCGTGCACGTATCGTGCACTTACCGTGCACTTTTTCTAGAAGGACTTATAGTTAAAGGACTCTTCAAGGTATATATACTCAAAGCAAATACTGTTAATTTAGTTATTTTGGTGTAGTTATTTGCAAAATACCTTTGAAGTTAAAAAAGAAAAGAAAGACAAATAATGGTGTAGTTATTTCTCCCTCAGGTACGCACTCATTTTCGTTTCTTTTTTTCCTAATTTTGTAGCATCCATATCACTTTTCCGAGGCCGTGGAAGAAGACAGGGGAAATCTCAGTCGTGTAGGTGGGTGCAATCGTGAGGGTGAAACCGGTGTCGACTGTGGCATAGGAGCGGTTGGCCAAGAAAACAAAATAGATGAGGGCAAAACCCATAAAAAGGGGCCCGACGAAATACATGGCCCCCGCTATCATAATCATCTTGCGGCGGCCAAACTGGTCAGAGATCCATCTCGTCGTTACCAATTTGAGGAATGTGAACACGCTCAGGTACCCCGTCAAAACATCAAGATGCGCTTCGGACAATTTCACGTCCACGTTTATATATGCCGCCACCCCGCTCATTGCTGTTTGGACTGTCAAAATTTTAAAAAAAATAAGAAAAATCTTATTTATCATTACAATGTTTATAACTATATGCAAGAAATTGAAAGAATAAAAATAAAAAAATTCTGTGAATTTCTCTGTCTTTAACTTTCTTTTTCAACTTCAAAGCTATTTTAAAAATAACTACATCAAGTGAATTTCTTTGTCTTTAACTTTCTTTTTCAACTTCAAAGCTATTTTAAAAATAACTACATCAAGTGAATTTCTTTGTCTTTAACTTTCTTTTTCAACTTCAAAGCTATTTTAAAAATAACTACATCAAAATAACTAAATCAATGGTATTTAGGCAAATGCACCTTGAACCAAAAGTCATTTCCCCAAAACTCAAGCTCAAGCAAATGTAGACTTTGTGGGTCCAAACTTCATGAACATTTAGTGCACATAACGTGCACTTTTTTTAGAATAACTTATGGTTAAAGGACTCCTCAAGGTCCTTACAAAAAAAAATGACTCCTCAAGGTCTATATGCTCAAAGAAAATACTATTAATTTAGTGATTTTGGTGTAGTTATTTGCAAAATATCTTTGAAGTTAAAAAATAAAAGAAAGACAAATCATTGTGTAGTTATTTCTCCCCCAGGTACTCACTCATTTTCGTTTCTTTTTTTCATAATTTTGTAGCATCTTATCACTTTTTTGAGGCCGCAGGAGAAAATAGAAGAAACCTAGCTGCGTAGATGTTTGAGAATGGTGGTTACCATCACTTGGTTCAACATCCGCTTCTTCTTGTATTTCGTTAACTCAAGCAGGAGCCAACACATCTTCATCTTCGTCGTCCTCTCCTCCCTCAAATAGCCGTAATAGGAACGGCAAGTAACTGTCGTCTTCGCCAAATGGCTCTGATATCGACGGACACACTAGCTACTCAGACACCAATTTATAGGTAAAAAAATTTTTGGTACTTAAGTGAGCCGGCGAAAATTTTTGACACTAAAGTGAGCATCGTACATAACTTATGGCATAGGTCTTCCTCTCAAATACTTTTTTATAGGTAAAAAAAAAGATTACTATACACGTGCAATTCACGTGCAATCCACGTGCTATATTTGTGCAATCCACGTGTGAGGAAAAGAAACATATAAATCCTTCTTATTTTCATAATTAATCAATTTATATGAGAAAATGTCATATATATATAGTATTTTTGAAAGGTATATTTGGAATATGGTAATGAATTTAATTCAAAATCATTTAATTTTTTGTAATTAATTATAAAACAACATAGAGACAATGTACGGAACAAAACAACATAGAGAAACAAACATGCTTGGTCGTCCTAATTGCCTCCTTTTCTGCATTAATCGATATTTAATAGCCATGTTTGAGTCTGCAAATAAGTTTTACTGATCATACGCCTCCCTCGATCGCGCTGCTCTGTCGCAATTCCAGTTCTCTAGCCGAGGACCTCCATTTGGTCCATTTGCCAAACAATTGTGCTATCTCCTCTAGAGACCTTCCTTGGTCTCAGGCACGAGAAAGTATAGGAAGATTTGGTTCAAAATAATCAATATGTAGAATCAGAACACGTGATTGCGGGAACATACACTTTCAATTTGAAAGAGAGGGTTTGAAAACATATTTATTCTGAATCAGAGGGAGAAATGCACTAGAGTACCGATGTGTACCATGCACCTAAATTTACATATAGTAATGTCCATCTTTTACCAAAAACAAGCCATTTATGGATATTATCAGGGGGTTCATGCAGATCCAGTGGAGTCCTTTTTTCACTCTACAAGGATCAAGACCAAATTAATCTTCGTTCCCTTGCCGTAGCGCCTAGTATTCGAACATTGGCTCGGGGCATTTTCTCTACCCCTTCTTACCCTGAAAAAGCAGGGGCATCTTGCGTCCTTGAACCGATAACCATCTTTCGGCTAACCTAGCCTCCTCCGTCCCTCGGGACCAACAAGGGGTAGTACAGGAATATTCACCTGTTATCCATCGACTACGCCTTTCGTCCTGATCTTAGGCCCTAACTCACCCTCCGTGGACGAACCTTGCGGAGGAACCCTCCATGCCAAGATGGCCATTCCCATAAATAAGAAGGCAGCCCCACCCAGTCTAATCGCTTTGTACAAAATCATGAACTTCATTGATATTAAGGCACTCGCCACTTGGCCCACGGCGACACTGATTGCGCACCCCTGCGCCCGCAACCTCATAGGGAAGACCTCCGAGCTGTATACTATTGCGATTGGCCCCATCCCAATGGAGAAGGAGGCCACGTAGCACACCAACGAGAGGATGCACATGTCCATCGCCCACTTGACCTTCCAGTGTCTATCGATGGCGGTGAGGCACACACCGAGGGAGGCAAGCGACAAAATCATTCCGCCTAGGCTGCTCAACAACAACTGTCGCCACCCGACCTGGTCAAGGAGGATGGTGGCGACGATGGAGAACACTGTCTTCGTAAATTCGACTAGCATGGCGATTTGGGTTATTCTGGTATGATCGATAATGCCAACCTTCTCGAGGATGCGAGGGCTGTAGAGGATGATGGTGTAAATCCCAGAAGTTTGTTGGAAGAGGTAGATTCCAACGGCGCACGCTAGCATGTGTAAGACAGACTGGGTCCGGTGGAGGAGTTCCTGCCACATGCCCTCAGTGCTGTGGCCGGTGACCTTGACAACATCATCGTTGCTTTCTTCAGGGATGCCGGCAGCCTCCTTGATCTCGGCGAGCCGAAGTGCGGCCTCCTCCTCAGAGTTGGAGATCCAGGCGAGGGTGCGCTTCGCGTCGCCCAAGCGGCCTTGCATGACGAGCCACAAGGGAGATTATGGCATGGCAAGGACCCCCAAAGCGAGCAGGCCCAAGGTGATTCCTCCCGCATAAAGCATGACACGCCACCCGACAATGTTGGAGAGTAACCTGTAGAAGCAATAATGGGAGATGTAGCCGAGAAGGGTGCCCACGTTGATGAATACCTGAAAAACCAAAACACGTATAAAAAAGAAATCACCTTCCTTTAACTTTAATTTTCTAGCTTTAGTTTTTCATCCAACAAAAATTGATGATAAATTAAAAAATAAAAAATATGCTACAAAATTAGGAAAAAAAAAAGAAAGAAAAGAAATGAATACCTCAGAAATGGAGGTGAGCAAGCCGCGGTAAAGAGTAGGAGAGATCTCGACGATGTAGACAGCAGCAATAGTAAGAGCATAGCCATCACCGATATTGGTGATGAGGCGGCCCAACACTAGGAAGAATGAGTTGGGCACAATGCCCATGAGGAGGGCCCCGACAAAGAAGAAGGCTGCTGCCAACACAATCTTGCAGCGACTACGAATCCTGTTGGAGGTCCACCCAGCCCGTGCCGACCCGAAAAGGCAAGACAATTTAGAAATCCCTATCAGAAAATCATCATGCTCTTCGCCCATGTTCAAGTTCTGCCTTGCTACTGTTGGCCTTACTAATTCTGTCCCCTCACTTATCACTCCTATGTCTGCCAAAATTCAAAATGAAAATCTTATTTAATATCACAATATTCCCAAGTAAATCGTAACCACACACAAGAAATGAAAAAAAATATTTCTTGCCCTATTTTTCACTATAATATATTATTGCCAGATAAGAATGATGATAAATAATAACTACAATGGACACAATCCGAAATTAATGCTCCATTCGTTTCACGGAAAATAACTTCCAGGAAAATATTTTTCGGCTTTTTGGCGTTCATTCACGAAAAATAAACTAGTAATGAAAAAGCACATTCAAAAGTGAGGAAAATGTTTTCCACTTTTCAGAAAGCAGAAAAACATTTTCTATATCTTCCTTCACCTCACTTTCTTTCACAAAACACATTTTCTCTTTATTTTTCTTTTTTATTTTTTAATAAAATTCGAGTTATAATTATTTTTTAATCTTTTTCTTTTCTTTTTTCTTCTCTTCTTTTTTTATTTTCTGTCTTCCTCTGCCAACGATTGGCCACAGGCAAGGCTTGGCCTCGCTCGTCCAAGGTCGGCGAGGCTAGCCTGTGGCTGGCAGAGGAAGAAATAAAAGAATAAAAAATAAGATTAAAAAATAAAAGAAAAGAAATAAAAAATTATTAATAAATCCAAAAATTACAAATAATTAAAAATTCTATTTTTTAAAAAATAAAAAATAATTAAAAGGAGGGCAAGGAGGAAAATCAAATCTGATTTCCCATACTGAACGACGGAAAATATTTTTCAGTTCATTTTAAAGTCTCAGCTCAACACCGGAAAATATTATAATTTTCCTGAAAAATAACTTTCCGGAAAACATTTTCCAAAAACGTCAAATTTTTCGTGAAACGAACTGAGCTTAAATAATCTTTTTTTTTTCTTTTTTATGCATTAAAAAAATGACCTTTTGGCAATAAATTTATCGTTTTTATCGGTAATAAAGCTAGACAAATTAAAGTGCAATAACCAAGATATAACTCAAATCATTATTATCGTTTTTTTTTTGGCAACATAATTAAGTTGCAAGGAATCGATTCGCTATATGGAAAATTGATTCGCAAAGATATATTGGACGCATCGCGACAGAGAGAGGACTAACCAAAACCAAGCAAAATGCACATCATGGAGGCCGCAATGGCATAGCCGAAGGCGTACTTGTTCCAGCGCGGGTTCGCTTCCTCAATCACATTCGTTTGCACGTTGGCGTTGACTTCAGAATCACTATCTTCCAATTCCTGCAATGTAAGTCAATTGACACCTCATGTAAGTCGATCAATTCCGTAAAGCTACAAGAGAAACCGTTCAGAGAGCCCAAGTATAATTTGCCAAGAAGAAATCTGTCTAACGAAAGAGAGAATTCGTAGCATTGTTTTTAAATATTTTAATATTTTTTCGAAATTTTATTATTATTTTATATTTCCTTTTCTTTTTCTTTTTTTTTTCTGGACTTCTTCCCCAGCCAGAGGCGAGGCCTCGCCGGCCTCTGGCGAAGCTCGCCTCCGCCGGCCACTGTTGAGGGCGAGCCTCGCCAGCTTCTGGCTGGGCGTCCTCGCCATCACCTGGGTCTTCCTCGCCTAGCGACGGCGAGGCCAAACCTCGTGTAGCCAAAGTGAGGCCAACCTCGCCCAGCCAGGGGCCGGCGAGGCTGCCTTGCCGACCCTCGACTCTGGCCAGTCTGGCGACCAGCCAAATGGAAGAAGGCCAGAAAATAAAAATCGAAAAAATATTTTAAAAAAAATACAGCTTGGTTTTACATTTTCAATGCATTTTCATGATCTAAAAGTCCTTGTCCAAACTTGTCCGTGACGTAACATTTACTGTATTTTCTTCGTACCATAATCGGTCCTAGGCTCGCGTTGACCAGGCCTAAGTGGGCCAATTCGAGCCTAAAAGCGACTAATCTTTGCCTGGATCTACCCGAAATGCTTCGATTGTCCTAACAAGTCCAACCAGGCAAGCTTCAGTAGGTCGCCAGACCCATGATTAGAAAGATGATACTCGCTACCTTGCTTAGTCAGCTTTGGTTGACATTACTAGCTAGCTTTAATATGTCAAATTTACGATATTATTGCACATTTAGCGTTGGATGTATGACAAAACTTAGAGATAGTTATGCAACCAATTTCACTCAATGTTAACTATCCAACGGTGAAAGTGTAACTTACTTCTAACAGTGGCAAATGACCTAGTAAAAAGACTTGAATTTATCATTTATAGGATATCCGGGTTTATGTTGGCCCTTTTTCTCACTATACTTACTTATGCCCATGGAGGTTATGGGAATTTTCATGGGTAAAGTTTAATCCTTTGTACTATTGAAAATACCTAATTTTCTCTTGGTATATTGTGAAGAAAATAAACAAAAAAGACTGATCACAGGTCTTTCTGGCTTTTCGATTTTTTTTAAATGCAATCGAACTCTATGAGTTTTCAATTTCGCAAGGATACGTACAGTTCATAATCCTCTCGTTCTTAATTACTTTGCAGAAGATAAAAGCCATACCTATTATCTATTGCTCATTGCTAGAGTAGTATGGCTTGATACTCGCTACCTTGATACTCGCTACCTTGCTTAGTCAGCTTTGGTTGACATTACTAGCTAGCTTTAATATGTCAAATTTACGATATTATTGCACATTTAGCGTTGGATGTATGACAAAACTTAGAGATAGTTATGCAACCAATTTCACTCAATGTTAACTATCCAACGGTGAAAGTGTAACTTACTTCTAACAGTGGCAAATGACCTAGTAAAAAGACTTGAATTTATCATTTATAGGATATCCGGGTTTATGTTGGCCCTTTGTCTCACTATACTTACTTATGCCCACGGAGGTTATGGGAATTTTCATGGGTAAAGTTTAATCCTTTGTACTATTGAAAATACCTAATTTTCTCTTGGTATATTGTGAAGAAAATAAACAAAAAAGACTGATCACAGGTCTTTCTGGCTTTTCGATTTTTTTTAAATGCAATCGAACTCTATGAGTTTTCAATTTCGCAAGGATACGTACAGTTCATAATCCTCTCGTTCTTAATTACTTTGCAGAAGATAAAAGCCATACCTATTATCTATTGCTCATTGCTAGAGTAGTATGGCTTGATGCCCCGAAGGCCCCAAACAAGAAAGTGACACTAAATGACGCGGGACGTGCTAGTTTCGAGATTACGAAATATTTTGCTTGTTATTTTAAGACGCCAATGATAACCATTATATTCATTGGGTTAGGCATTAAAAGTCTCTTCCAAATAACCACTTTGGAATTTCCCGTCAATATAAATGTATGTCGTGGTTTTGAACTTAGAAAGAAATTGCAAAAAGAGCTGGAATTTCAAATGTGAAAGATTTCATAGCCCCTTTACTTAAATGAAGGAACTATGAAGAAAAAAGGAACCGAAAAGAGAAAAAATTAACTGATAAAATAGGTTGAGATAAGTATGAACTCAGTCCTTTCACTTGCTAATTATGATCCGGAAAATTAAGAAATAAATATGGAGGCACTTAGCTAGATATGTTCCTTATATGTAATATACAATATTCTTTGAAGGGATAATGATACAAATGATCCATGAACTTTAACCCAATGTGTAATGTGATCCATGAACTTTAAATTTGTTCAATGTAGTCCTTGAGCTTTAACTTAATGTGCAATATCGTCAATGAACTTTTAATTTGTTCAATATGGTCCCTGGACTTTTGGTACATGTTCAATTTAGTCCCTAAACTGTATAAAAATGTTTAATGTTGTCCTTCTATTAGTTCAAGTTCAGAGATAATATTGAATATATTCATATAGTCCATGGACTATATTGAACATGTACCAATAGTCTAAGGACTATATTGAACAAATAAAAAGTTTAGAGACAACACTGCACATTGGACCAAAGTTCGGGAACCACATTAAATAAATTTAAAATTCAGATACTATATTGCACATAGGGCCAAAGTTCAAAGACCATTTGTATCGTTTTCCCATTTCAGGACCCCATTTCTTAAGTGAAGGAACTATCAAGAAAAGAGGAACAGAATTTAACCAAAAAAAAAAAAAGAAAAGAGGAACAGAAAAGAAAAAACTTAATGAGCAAATAGGTCGAGATAAGTATGAACACAGTCCTTTTACTTGCTAACATTGATCAATAAAATTAAGAATTAATGGAGGCACTTACCTAGACGTTTCGTTCCTTATATGTAATTTACAATATTCTTTGCATTTTATGTGATCACACACTTTTACTGTTTACTTTTCTTTTTAATCTCAAAAAACTTAACACTAATCACGATTGGCTATCTTAGTCATGCAGGGAGCTTTGATAGTATGTAGAATCGATAATTTTTTGTTACGTATTTCATTTTGCAGACACCTCGAAAGATCCATTGTAGTCTGGTTGGTTAGGATACTCGGCTCTCACCCGAGAGAACCGGGTTTAAGTCCCGGCAATGGAATTTCGTTTTTCTTTTCTTGTTCCTTCTCTCTTTTCCTGAATTTGTAATGATCTTGTCTACTATTATGGAAAATGAGAAGGCACAGAAATAGAAAAGGCGACCATAGAATCGTCCGACTTGCAAGTGAATCAAAGTCGTCGTCAAAATCCCATGATGTAGCTCTTTTGTCATTTACTTTCATGACATATAGTTCATCAAATTTTGGAATTTGGGTATTTGCAGGACCTCTTATCATCAATTTCAATTGTAGATATATGTAGCAAGCCAAGCAGGCCGATTGTTTATTTTACAGTATGAGATTCTGCTAAAAACAGAGGAAAAGATGTCAGTGTCACGGAGACGTTTGGTTACTTCTTCTGTTGGTTCAAGTTTGGAACACTAATGGGTGTATTTTAGGATCTTAAGGCGGCAAACAAGTTCCGTAACGGGAATGGAGCCTTATTTTGCTGGCAATTAGAAGACAATTCCAATCTACATGTCTGCTATTCGAAATGTTCAATCATGTCTCGGTGATTCGGATGAGAATCGGACAAAGTCTCGGTCAGTGACGAATCCAAGTTCTTCTCATCGCTTAGAGGATGGACTAAGCACATATGAGATAGTAGTCAACTGTTTTGCGTCTCCGTAAGGCCGTATCGCTTATGTTGATGGGAAGTAACCATCGTTAGTTCCTTCTGTATCATGCAGCTTTCGATTGCCTTTGAAAATTGCCGTGCCATATTGTGCTGTCTTACTAGTACCGCCTTTGATTTCTCATATATAGCTCTACATGACTCCTGTTTCTAGCATCGAGAGATAAAGGGCCAGAACATCTTACATAGACACAGAAAATGAATAACTTTAGCTTGAAATGCTTGGGCTCATTGCTTCTTGTTCTTCTGGCTATGAGTTGTACGGAAGTTCAAGGTCAGTCTTGCAGACCGAGCGGCAGAATCAGAGGGAAGAATCCCCCTCCTGGACAATGCAACACCGGGGACGACTCGGAGTGTTGCAAAAACGGCCAAATGTACCCGATTTACAAGTGTTCGCCACCAGTGTCGGGCCACACCAGCGCCCACCTCACCCTGAACAGCTTTGAGGAGGGCGGAGATGGAGGTGGCCCATCTGAGTGCGACAACCAGTACCATTCTGATGACACGCCTGTCGTGGCACTATCCACGGGGTGGTTCGATAACATGAGCAGGTGCCTCAGGAACATAACGATCTACGGCAATGGGAGGAGCACCCAGGCTATGGTGGTGGACGAATGCGACTCGACCATGGGATGCGATGAAGATCACGATTACCAACCTCCATGTGACAACGACATTGTCGATGCATCCAGAGCTGTGTGGGAGGCCCTGGGGGTGCCCAAGGACAATTGGGGCTGGCTTGACATTACATGGACCGATGCCTAGTTCTTTATGCTATGCTTATCACATACTTATATGTAACTATCGAACGATCGATGTACTTAAAACAAATACCTGCACTAAATATAAAGATACTTCCTTTATGGATTATACGCAGCAATTCGAACTATGGTTGTGAGCATAGCTTCTCCATGCAGAATGTTGAGTGACTGTATAATTGCTTACTGGAATGTTTTTCGTCATATGTCAGCCTTGATGTTTAAGATGAGCTTAGCTATGATGATACCTGATTAAAGAAAATAAGCAGACGTGACGAAAAACGAGAGAGCAATGGCAAGTGGCCTGTCCAGTATGTGTGCCCAATGTGCTGCTGCGTATGAAAATGCTTCCAGTTAGAAAGTTTCAGCCCAGGAAGCATAATTCTGACGTTATTCCTTCTATAGCCAGTAAGCTAGTGCTTGTGCAGCTGAATTATGGGCACTGATACATGGAGTTAGGCTGGCTATTGAGAATGACAATTGCATATTGAGCTAGTTGCCGCTGGTGTTATTCAAGCTGTACAAAATCAGCACCCAGCATTATCAAAAATGTCTTCTCTTATCTTTGGCAGATTTTTATTTACCTTTTCTTACTGACAACTTGAATTTATCGATTGTTATATGAAAGTACCAACCTTTATTTGAGCGACTAACCAACTATTCTATAATTGAGTTACTAGCTAATTTTAGGATACCAGCTCTCATTTGAGTTGCTTACCAACATTTCTTGTTTAACTATTCTCCTATGTTTAATTAACATATATGGGGTAATCCGAAAATACTTTCGACTACGTTGTTATGTGCTTGCTTGGTGATGATTTTGCTTTATTCAACTTATTACATGGTGTCGTAAAGTCGCGCATGTGATATAATATATGAAACTTTTACTACCAAACTGAAAGTACTTCCAAGCTGGGATTCCAGTTGACATGGATATTATCATCAAAAGAAGTACTGGAAATAGCTAAATAATTGAAGTTCTCAGGTTAATTATATCAGCTCAAAACTCCTTCATAGTTGGACTTGGGGTGCAACATCTGAATTGGTCAAAATATCAGGTAATGACCACCTAGGACCTGCCTGGTCCCTAACTTGGCACATGTTCAAACTAATTTTTTTCTTATTTGGGTTGTAATTTGGAAAGGTCAACTGGATAAACATAATGTCTAATATAGTCAACAAGTTTATTGACATAATACTTCACTAGCTCATAATTCTCAGTAAATAAGACTACAGAGAGAGGAAACTACTCCATTGAAAAAAAAAACTAGTATGAAATTATCAAAGTAATGTGATTTGACAGATGATCTAAGCTAAAGGAACAGGAAATAAGTGGAAAAAGAAAGTCGCTGCTTGACATTTGACAGAGAAAAGCACATAAGAGAAGTGTGGTTCAGCTCCACCTCCAGAGAAAGGAGGTCGAGTGTAGAGAGACGTCATCGTTTCGGTTTCGCACGAAAGATGAAATGATTACGGCGGGAGTGATGAAGGCAAACAGCAACTCGGAAGAGATGGAAAGCCAGAGCAAAAGTACGGAACTTTGAAAAGCTTTTGAGCCGCTGGTCCCTCCTCTCCAACTGTCACACCATGTGACTTCCTCAGTCCTAAGTTTCTCTCTCTTGTTCTTGAAACGTTACGGGCCAAGACTCATTCGAGGATGCGAAAACGATGACATGCACCGGGCAAGTCGCAATCTATTGAATAGGTTGAGACCTTTTTATGCAAAAGATAGAACAATAGCAAATTCGACTTTGCTGAGATTAGGACAGAAGCCATGGAATTATGGTACCTAAACACAATCGACATTTCTAAATTTTTCTTAGTGAAATAGGAGGGCGTCACTCGTTGGTGCTTCAAATAAAGACATAAATGAGAAGAGATGGACCCCTTTCCTTCCAAGAAATGCGTTTCTGTTCTCAAGTTAGGGCAAGAACAAGAAAATTGTCCAGACCTGCAATTGCGCCTCACCTTTTGCCAGTGAATTACTGTTGCATGCCAATAGAAGGTCGTAGGGGTGCTAAACCGATCACCCAGATACATAACTCGGTTTTTACCATTAAAAGTTGACTAGGGGATTACTAGAAATTCATCACAGCCAAAAGGAAATGATGGTCCTCCATGGAAGCAACCTTGCAATAACCCGATATTCTTACAATAAGATGGAGCCACATATCGGCTGTTTATCACCAAGCTTAGCAAGGTACACAAATTTCAGTTCACAAGTATAATATAGACAAAGCCTTTTTCCTTCAATATTGCCTTCTCAATTTCAAGCACACACGCTATATTGCCTTCTCAATACCAAGTACAAAGATAAAGATCAATTCAAAGTTAATTCCACTTTCTCAATCAAGCAGACTGATCTCCCCATAAATGCTTCAAAAAGATCTATTCCATGAAACTTAATGACAAGCTTCTCCTCCTCAGGAGTAAAAGGGCCACGTTTAATGTCTGGACTGAGATTGTTCGTCCACCTTAGCCAGCAACTCAGCAACTCTTGCCGCAATGACGAAGACCTATCAAGTAGCAATGGCAAAACCATCACAAGTATATGAACTCACAATATCAGCATCTGTAACAAGCCATCTACCGCAAAACTAACAGTCTAATCGTGGAGAAAAGAAACAAAAGAAACAAAAGAAACTAAAACTTTAACATATTGGACAATGTAAGCTTACTGACGGGTAATGCTCATTGCTTGCGACAAAGAAAATGCGATCGACCTTCTAATCTCGGTCTCAAATCTTTCGGTTGAATAAACGAATGCATACATTATACTTAACACAAACTATCAATGACTTCATTACTGCCACTAAAACACGATGCACACATTGACTGCACAAATAGCTTCACTGAAAATTTAGAAAGAGCAAACAATGAAGAAAATATCTCGGTTGACATTTGCTGTGATGGAGGGAAGTGAAGTGCAAGGAAACAATGACACAGGCAGAGGAGAAAGAGGATGGGTCAGGAATTATATGCATTTCATTGCCTCTTACAATTTTTTTTCCAATAACACCTCGTTGCTTCTTTAGAATGTTAACAGGAAAAAGAACAGTTTAGTCAGTTTACCCCCTTAATTTTCAGCATATCTATTCCCTTAAACATGCAAATGGCGGCAATACAGAAATCATGACACCATATATAACTGGCAATTTTCAGTTTGTATAGAAGTATGCTATTCTCGGTTGAAGAACTTTTTTTCACAATAGCATTGAAATATTTTTATGATATTTATGTTCCCAAATAAAAACATATACTGTTCCTTAACTGCGAATTCACAAGTCCTAACTCACAATTGAACATAACTATTGAGTGGGATAGAAAATAAAGTGAACACAGAAACCATAAAAAGCACCACCAAGCGCAATATGATATCAAAATGCAATTCTTATGTCTCATGTTATGTTTTTCTCTAGACAAGTTAGTCACTACAACACTTGTACACCTCTACCAGGTCTTGCAGCTAGCGACTAAACTAGGTGATCATCGGTCGAACAACTGCATTCTCACTTCAAGAACTGACAGAGTCTATGCAAGCATGGAGTTACAAACCCCCTTTCCCATCTTATCACTCAAGCCCTCGCATGAAAGAACTAACGACTTTCTCGCCCGATACAAAACTGTGGTGCACGGCATCTGCAATGATTTATGCCACAGATCTTAAAATGAAATCACTAGCTTCAATGACAGACCGAGACAATTCCATTAACAGCGAACCAAACAGCTTTAGATTAGATTAATGCACTTTCACAATCAAGTTACCACCTACAGAGAGTGAGTGATCATCACCTTCACGATCGAGAAGTCTTCATCGAATCGACGAACCCGCTTCTGAGAAGCCTCTCCACATACTTCCCCAATATGTCCACCTCCAAATTCACCTTCTGCCCAACTCTCTTCATGGGAATGACCATCTTCTGCTGCGTATACGCCACCAGCATGAAATTGAAGCAATCCTCCCCATCGAACACGCCCACCACCATCAAGCTCGTCCCGTTGACGGCAATGAACCACTAGGGCACCACGTACCCCAGCAGCTCCTTCCCCGCCCTCACCTTCACCCACAGCGAGTCGGCCTCCGGCTCCATCGACACGATCTCCCCGGTCCCGTCCACGTGGCCCTGCACGCAGTGCCCGCCCATCCGGCTCGTTGGCTGCACCGCCCGCTCCAGGTTCACCATCGACCCAGCCCCGAGCTCGACCAGGGACCTCTTCCGCAGTGTCTCGGGGGACGCAATCGAACGGAGGCCCAGAAGTTGCCAAGGCTCAGAGAGATGGTGCGGCCGTAGGTAGACGTCGCTAGGGTTCCCCAAATTGACGCGAGCATAGACTTTGTGCTCGATCGCCGCGTCGGAAACAGCCAGGAATTTGGTGCGTGAGAAAGAGAGAGAGAGAGAGAGGAATCAGCCGACGAATCGTAAATCGTAGCCGCCCGATGGGGCTCCGGAGGCAACAACGGAGGCGGAGGTGCAGGCGGAGGGGGAGGGGCTCGGGATCCAGCAGCCGCGACGGGCCAGACACAGATCTGAACTCGGAGCGACGGCCGGGCTCTTGGGAGAGGCGGAGGCAGTGGAGAAAGAGAGAGAGAGAGCGTCTTCTCCCCCACGAGAGCAGGTAAAGAAGGCCTCCAAAATTGAAAAGAGGAGAGAGAAAGTGTTTTAAGCGGGATTTCAACTTTTCGCCCGTCCCTTCATTTTTTCTCTTTTTCTTTTTTCACGTCAAGTGACACGTGTCACTTTCTAAATGGAACAGATAAGCCACGTAAGACAATGACGTGGCAGTATCGTACTGCTAATATTTTCTCTGGAAAGCCAGAGCAAAAGTACGGAACTTTGAAAAGCTTTTGAGCCGCTGGTCCCTCCTCTCCAACTGTCACACCATGTGACTTCCTCAGTCCTAAGTTTCTCTCTCTTGTTCTTGAAACGTTACGGGCCAAGACTCATTCGAGGATGGGAAAACGATAGTGTCCATTGAATAACAATCTTTCTCGAATCATTACACTAC